AGGGGGAGCCGTGGGACACTGAAGCCAGCCGTGTGTGCTGTCGGTCCCACAGACTTGCTAAAGGCTTCCAGGAAAGATTCACATTTGCAAGTTGGAAAAGGCAATTTAAAATAAAAAAACAAATGAATTGGATTTACTTGTTGGTGGAAAATGCTGGACTTGCAATACTGGAGACAGAAGTCCTATATCCAGAGAGCTTCTACACACTGCCATGCCAACATACCTCAGCACTGAGCTGGGGGAACACTCCTAGGGCTCATAGGATAGGTCAGGCCCTTCATCCTGATCTTTATGCTAAGGCAGTCTGCTAAGCATGCCAGGTAGGGCCATTTGTGAGGGCTTTTTGGATGACATAACATGACTTTCAACAACTCACCAAGCTGAGATGCTCCAGATGCACATTTATGGGGAGTGTTGCAAATAGTAGGAGTATCACACGTGGAATAGAATGCAGCTACATTTATACATTGAAATAAATATTCTAGGCCAAATTTACTACTGGCATTAGCAGGTGCAACATGTCCTAGGCTTGCACCTGGGTCATAAAGGTGACATAGTCACCTTTACCTCTTCCGTACCTGAGTGGCACCAGGCAAAGCTCAGACATCACCTAGGATCTGAGCCAAAATATCCATCTTGGAAGGACAGAGTGCGGCATAATAGTGCCATTGCAAGTCATTCCAAATATTATTGGTTCTAATTAACATTCCCACAAGATGTGACTTTCCTTACTGCAACAGAGTGCTGTTCAAGAGTCCTGATAGTCTTTACTGTCTTTGAAAACATCAGGAAAAATCAAATAAATTACCTCCAATCTGACTGTTACACAGATATGCCACACTGAGCATTATAAACCAGGGGTGATTGCATCAACACCAAGATTACATGGCATTTGGAAAGTCAGATCTGGTACACATAGTCAAATTATCACCCTAATGTGGTGATCTGTAAAACAAAATTTGACTATATTTGACTATATTATAAACTGCAGACAACACTGGCTGTTTACCATGCATCCTTTATTTAAAATCAATATGCTGTGCTATCTTTGCTCTCTGGCAGTTGTCCAAGCTAAATTGGCATCCTTTTTAACAGTGGTCTGATTAAGTGACTTCATCCATACCACAGCACTGTAACACTTTCTGAAGCCTGTATGAGCTAAACATTGTTGAAAGAAATAATAAAAAATGCCTTTCCTTTTTTGCAGGGTTGGATTGACAACTTCAATGGAGCAAGTGGAATGATTATTGCGGTATGTATAGTTACTACTTTGAAAAAAATTCCTTTGCTCAAAACTTGTGTGCAGGAGATTCCATAGCATTTTGTAGATTCTAATAGAGACACATACCGTACATCTTTATGGGCATATGCCTACAGCACCTGACAGTGTTGTCTGTTTATACTGCATCCAAAAAAACTACCTTAAAACAACATTAAGGTTGCATAGTCAAGTACTGAAAAGTTAGGAAATAAGAGTTAATGTTATCTGTACAAGCTTATTTTATCCCCCTTCTTATGCATATGCATTATGATACAGTCTTTAATTACATGTTCACATATTAGATTTTCCACAGGATCCTAGCCTCCTACCAGCAGAAGGTGCATTGAGAGCATAGTCTTCATGCTTTCAGTTCTGGTACCTGGCACAACAGTGGCAGCTAATAGGGAGCATGTGCCGAGGTCTGTGGGGATACCTAATGCTCATCCTGGTCAGCATGTAGGATCTGTGTGGGTATGGAGCATGCTCATTGCAGACAGAATCTTGGGAGAATCTAGCTGCCAGCTTGTACCAAAGCTCTACTGAGCATGTGTGAACTGTGATTTTCAGAGGCTTATAAATTGGCCATATTTGGGCACATTTTCATGGGGCTCGCAAAAGGCACATCCCTGATGGTAGGCACAGTTGCCAACTTTCACGTGGTAAATAAGCATCCCAACTTTCACAATAAGCCAAAAGTCAAGCTAATCACATTTCAAAACAAGGTCAAAACAAGCCAATCCTTAAGAACCCCAACACTGTGTGACTAGATCCCCCGGCGTGCAGTCTGGGACTGTGGTGCGGCTGCTATGCACCTCTCTCCCCACCTTGCCGCTGCTTTCCAGGAGCCGATCAAAAAAAAGTAGCAACAAGCTACAAGCCACAATCCAAAAACTAGCCAACAAGCAATTCACAAGCCAATTAAGCCAAAAACAAGCCCAATTTCTGTGGTTTTTTTCCGTGGGTTTGGCATGTCTGCCACCTCCTGCCAAATGTCCAAGTCCTTGCTCCAAAGCATGGGGGCACTAGAGATTCTCAATGAAGTACTGGTTAGAATTTTTTAACATGGGCAAAACAATGTATTTTTCCCTAATCTTGTACTCAGAAGTGACCAAATCATTTCTGCTGAAAGTTTCCAAGAAAATTCAGCCTGAGACAGACACCTGGCTTGGAAAACTTCAGTCTGAACAGTTTCAATCTGGCAAAGTTATAAGCAACTGAAAACAGTGTCATAAAATAGAAACTTTAATTACACATGTCATTTCCAGGAACACTTATATGTGCTTCAGTTGGAAGCACTCAGTTCAAGGCAACAAAGTTGTGGGTTCAAGTCTCACACCAGGACTTAGTTCATTTATTCCCATGAAACAAGTGCAATGCAGTTCTTATGCTATCATTTCTCATTATATGCATTTGTGTCATATACATCACGATAGTGTGTGCTTGACCTACACCAGTGGTGGGCAACCTGCGGCCTGCAGGCTGCACGCAGTCTGTCAGGGTAATCTACTGGCGGGCCGCGAGACAGTTTGTTTACATTTGCACATTTGGAACAAAATCCAGGATAATGGAGAACAAAACCCTAGTATTCCTAAAGAATTGCCTTGAAGAAAGATGCAATAGATAGGTAAATCAGTAATAATAATGCATATGAAAAGCATATCCTTTTCCATGCCATTTCTCATTGGTTTGATTTTTGTTTTAAACCAAAACTACTACTACTACTCCCCCTACTCATATGAACGGCCATACTGTGTCAAACTAATGGTCCATCTAGTCCAGTATCCCTGTCTTCTGACAGTGGCCAGTGCCAGCTGCTTCAGAGGGAATGAACAGACCAGAACAGGACATTTTGAGTGATCCATCCATCCCCTGTCATCCAGTCCCAGCTTCTGGCAGTTGGAGATTTAGGGACCAGAGCATGGGGTTGCATCCCCAACCATCTTGACTAAAAGCCACTGATGGACCTATCCTCCATGAACTTATGTAATTGTTTTTAGCAGTTATACTTTTGGCACTCATAACATCCTGTGGTTGACTGTGCATTCTGTGAAGTGCTTCCTTTTATTTGTTTTAAATCTGCTGCCTATTAATTTCATTGGGTGACCCCTAGATCTTGTGTTATGTGAAAGAGTAAATAACACTTCCTTATTCACTTTCTCTGTACCATTCATGCTTTTATAGACCTCTATCCTAGCCCTCTTAGTCGTATCTTTTCTAAGATGAGCAGTCCTAGTCTTTTTAATCACTCCACATATAGCAGCCATTCCATACCCCTAATCATTTTTCTTGCCCTCTTCTGTACCTTTTCTAATTCTAACATACCGTTTTTGAGATGGGGCAACCAGAACTATATACAGCATTCGAGGTGCAGGCCTACCATGAATTTATATAGTGGCATTATGATATTTTCTGATTTATTATCTATCACTTTCCTAATGGTTCCTAGCGTTCTTTTAGCTTTTTTGCCTGCCACTGCACCCTGATCAGATATCTTTAGAGAACTATCCACAATGACTCCAATATCTCTTTCTTGAAAGGTAACAGCTAATATAGACTCCATCACTTTGTATGTGTAATTGGAATTTATTTTTCCAGTGTGCATTACTTTGCACTTATCAATATTGAATTTCATCTGCCTTTTTGTTGTCCCATCACCCAGTTTAGTGAGATCCCTTTATAACTCTTCTCAGTCAGCTTTGGACTTAACTATCATGAGTAACTTTTTATCGTCTGCAAATTTTGCCATCTCACCCCCTTTTCCAAGTCATTTATGAATATGCTGTACAGCATAGGTCCCAGTACAGTTCCTTGGAGGACCCGGCTATTTACCTCTCTCCATTGTGAAAACTGGCCATTTATTCCTGACCTTTGTTTCCTATCTTTTAAACAGTTATTGATCTGTGAGAGGCCCTCCCCTCTTGTTCCATGCCTGCTTCGTTTGCTTAAGAGACTTGAGTGAGGGACCTCGTCAAAAGCTTTCTGAAAGTCCAAGTACACTATCTCCACTGGATCCCCCTTGTCCACATTTGTTGTTCCCCTCCTAAAATTCGAATAGATTGTCGAGGCATCATTTCCCTTTACAAAAACTGGGTTGACTCTTCTCCCACAAACCATGTTCATCTCTGTGTCTGATGATTCTGTAACTTATAGTTTCAGTCAATTTCTCTGGTACTGAAGTTAGGCTTACCCGCCTATAATCACCTCTGGAGCCTTTTTTAAAAATCAGCATTACATGGGCTACTGTCCACTCATCTGGTACAGAGGCTGACTTCTGTATATTTTGTACCATGGTATTACCATGTTCGGTTGATTATTTTCATTCCACCAAGTTTCCCAGATATAAATATCCTCACTTAATGCCATCCATACTCATCCATACAATGTGCTACCCCAGGGACACATTCTAATGAATGGCAGTATACTGTATATTTTTGTTAATCTATATTTTATCCAGGTTGATTACACTATAAAACTGTGCTATTGTCAGTCTTGTGCAGTGTATAACAGGATTTCTGGTTTGTAATCATAGCAAAGAAGGATTATATTGAAATAGCATCTTAATAAAAACAGCTCATTTATACCTTAGGAAATGAAAGTTGTTATAATTTCATGTGGAATACACCTTTCATGCTAGAGCAGGATTAGTAAATAGATATGTTCATGCTAATGCTTTCATCCAAGGCCTTTGTTATTCATTTCAGACCACATCCTCTGTATTCACAAAACTCCACTGGCTCTCCATTAATTTTAAGATCTAATTAAAATAATTGCATTCCAGCTGTGATATATTTGAATGTATCCAGCAGAGTGTTGGATCTGTTTATGCAAATGCACTTATAGTTTAAGCAGTTCTGACATAGAAATGCAAAAAATATGGAAAATGTAACAAAAGTGACAGTCCTGACCTGGACTGATACTGCAGGTCCTGTGCCCACCCAGTAGCTTGAGGATCACCACCCTTCCCTTTGCCTCAGGGCTTACCTGCCCTGTTGGAGCCTACTGTTGCTGCTCAGGGAACTGTTTGTCTCTCCTTCCTGACCCCTCCCCAGTTGCAGAGTTGGGTCTTCACTTTTATATCGTCCAGCTGGGAACCAGAACCGCTCTTTAGCTGCTGCTTAACTGGATCAGTTGGTTTCCAACAACTGCCTGCTGGGCTTCTCCAGAGGCCAGGGCTTGCTGCTCCCTGGCTCTGCAGGCCCTTAAATGGGCAGATCCCTCTCATACACGACCAAACAGCTTTTGTTTGGTAGCAACTTTCAGTTGTTACTGATCTTTATTGGATTTATACCGATGTTCTAGAAAAAGACAATTTTTCCCTTTGAGCCGTCCATTTCTTAAAGGGGGGCAAAAGTGTATATGGTTTTAAATTGCACTTTTTGCACTAACATCAGTGGAAATCAAGGAGCGCTAATCCCTGCGTGGTGCTTTCAAAACTAACCCCTGAATTGTCTACGTTACATATTAGCTGAACCACATTTGATTAGAGGCAACTCTCTCTGTTTTGAGTATTTTAAAAACATGTATTCATCTGCAATCACTTTTTTGGCCTTAATTAAGATAGTCAACTGGTTTGATTAAAGTAAAGCCCTTCCACACACATACATGCACGCACACACCACACCTTGAACCGTCACACAAAACCCCATCTGAGAACCAAAACCAGGTTTGGAGAAGTATGGTTATTTTTCATGTTAGCTCATCTCTGAATTTCCAAGTTATGGCTGGGAATATTGTAAAAAGGGCTGTTCTCAAACTCTGTCTGGACCAACCACAAACTAGAAGTACAAAAATCTTGTGATAAAGCCTATTTTCATGAGATTTCAACCCAGGGAAGACAGAAGATTTGCTGGTAGGGAGAGCAAAACACTTCAAGGATGCTAGCTAGCATCCTGCCAGGCCCTCCATAAAAAGTATCCATCTGTTCTTCAAGATTTGTTCCTGCACCATTGAAATTTTCCCTCTGACTTCATTGAGTGCAGAACCAGGCAGTA